AATAGGGGACATAGGAGGCACCTAGAACCCACACCACAATAATCTCTCACCACACAAGGAGCTCCAAGAATTCCCCTAGGAGAAATCAAGAAAGAAGAAAGACTTAGAGAAAGATCCTTCATAACCAAGGAAATTAATTAAGGCTAAGAGGTAACCCATGTCTCAACAAAACCTATTTTCTTAGCTATGATCTCCCTCTAGGCATCCCTCTACATTCTTGTGTATTGATGATTCGTTTATGATATTGATGGTGTGATCTTGATAATTGATGTTATGCTCTCTTGGGTAATCTTGATAATCTTGATGATGGAAAGAGATTCTTGATGATTGTGTGATATTCTTGATAAACCTAGATTCCTAACGATTGTGTGATATTCTTGATAAATCGTATTGTTTCTTAGTGTTAAAAGATGAATTACGTTCTTGATGATTTAAATATAATTAGAGCCCTAGGATTTATCGTGAAACTCGTATGGTGTTATTCTTGATATATTGGGTGGGAATTCGTATGTTTGGGTGTTAATTATGTTTAGAAAGCATGATAGGATATGTGTCGTATGTTTCTTGCTTTTGATCCGTTAATTGTCTACGTATTACGTTTAACGGTGTCTAAGCATGGTTTCGCGTTCCACAAAGGTTCCCGGGGCGTTATTTGTGAAAAAGAGTCAGTGGGGGGTAGGTGGGGGTAGGGGACCCGCCACCTACCCGTGGCCAGTTTTGACGTCACCGGCAGCGGGCAGCCGGCGGGCAGGCGACTGCCCGCCGGGCACCCACTGCCCGAAAATCCGTCGCCGGCGGGTGACCATTCACCCACCGGCTACCCGCTGGAAATAGTCCCACTTCGGGATCCCGGCTTCCCCGTTTGATGTTCCCCCGACCCCCGTGGTGTCCCAACGGACTCCGTTTATCGTGCCTATGTCTAGTTTGATGTTCGGGTACCATTTGTAGGTTGAATAAGTCTTATATATTGCATGCTAGTTGAATTGGTATCCCGTTGGCCTAGGTGTGAGAAGTATGAACCCCTTAGGTTTATTCTTAGTATGTGGATGATCACGCATAGGTTACGTTATACGATTTCTCCCCCTTCCCAATGTGTCAATGTGGGTTGCATGTGTTTGCTATGTGTTATGTGTGCATGATACCCCAATTTGGTTGAGATCAAATTGGTTATTCCTGAGCTGTGGTTCAGAAGCTAGCTGCGGTCAGATTTACACTCTCGGGCTGCGGTCCACCGTTTGGTTGCGATCAAACGTTTTACATGAGCTGCGGTTCATATTCCTGGCTGCGGTCAGATGACTACTCTTGGGTTGCGGTCCACTGTTTGGTTGCGATCAAACATTATGATGAGCTGCGGTTCATCGGTCGGTTGCGATCGACCCTTTCGTGTTGCGATACGGGGCAGGGTGCTGCGGGGCCGTGTCAGAGCTATATGCGCTGACCCTCATGTATGGGCATGCGATTGGTCCTGTGGCGCCAACAAAGTGTGCTATGTGATGAGATATGGATAGTTTGATGTTACGAATGTTATGAAAGTGTGACCATAGGATACATGCTAGTAAACCGTATATGCTTGGTTATGACTATTGGCTGTGCTTATCTCTATCTGTCGAGTCTGTTCCCTATGCTTGTGAATTATATGACTTTTGACTGTGCTTATCCCTATCTGTCGAGTCTATTCTCTGTTTTAAAAGCTAGAGTCTCTTAGGATATATCTTCATGCTTCGAAATGGTTTTTCTTATATCTATATATATGCCTATATGTATTGTATTTCAACGCGTTGGAGTGGGTTACCAGCATCTCTCGCTGAACAGATATATTTGGCTTTCAGGCACAGATGATTAGGCACTGGAGCGCGCTAGAGATTCGGAGCATAGAATAGATAGTTTCCCGTTCGGCCTGCGTGCCGTGTTTATGTATTGATACTATTTGAGGATCCTAGAAGTAAGCCTGTGCACCTGAGTTTTCTAGCTCAGGTGTGGCATAGCACCCCGTACTCTTATGTATGTTTTGGGATTTATGAGCATTTACCTTTATTATATAAGCTTCAAAAGTTTAAAAATTTTCGGGGTATTACACACGAGACCAAGTTGCACCCAAAGAACACTGCAAAACCACTCATGGACTTACGATCAACAGGATTACCAGCCCAATCAGAATCAGAATACGCATGGATAGAGGCAGAGAGAGACTTCCGAATGAACAAGCCAAGATGCATGGTACCCTTCACATAACGTAGAACACGTTTAAGCATAGACCAGTCCGCCGTGGTAGGATCCTGCATACGCTGACAGAGTCTGTTAACCGCAAAAGAGAGATCAGTCCTCATGACAGTGAGATACTGAAGAGCACCCGCCAGACTACGATTCTGAGTAGGATCCGCATACGGCACAGCAGGCGCATCATCCGCCTTGACAAGAGACACCGGCGTACTAAGAGCCTTACAATCCGTCATACCAGCTCGTTTCAAGAGATCACCCATGTACCGTTTCTGAGACAACAGAAGACCACCTTGATGAGGAATCGTCTCAATACCAAGAAAGAAGGAAGGGGCCCCCATATCCTGGACCTTGAAAACCGTGGCCATCCGAGTAAGCAACGCAGAAACCTGAACCTGATCAGAATCAATCACAAGAATTTCGTCCACGTAAACCATAACAAACAACTGAGCACTAGAACTTGAGTGAATAAACAGAGACACATCAGTTTTAGAAGCAGCAAAACCAGCACAGACCAAAAAATCATGTAAACGGGTAAACCACGCCCGCGGTGCCTGCTTAAGACCATACAAAGAACGCTGTAGTAGACACACATGACCAGGCTTAGTCTTGTCTTCATACCCAGGCGGCTGACGCATATACACCGTTTCAGATAAATTACCGTTAAGAAACGCATTATGAATGTCAAGCTGTCTGATCACCCAATCACGAGACACAACAAGAGAGAGCAATAGACGAACTGTGGTCGGTTTGACCACCGAACTGAGAGTATCAAAAAAGTCCTGACCAGTGACTTGATTGAAACCTTTGGCCACCAGTCTGACCTTATACCGCTCAACAGACCCATCAGCCTTACGCTTAGTCCTGAAGACCCACTTGCAGCCGACAATATTCATACCAGGCATCTCTAGGACAAGCCGCCACGTGGAATTATGCAACAACGCATTAAACTCAGTATCCATCGCTTCACGCCACTGAGGATACTTCACTGCATGAGAGAAACACGTGGGATCAGAAGAACCAGGCTGAACCACCAAAGCCACGTGGTCCGTAGCAGCAACCCCCCGACTACGCAAGGACATAGTGTGCGACCGAGGGGGATACTGCCGACGCTGCCGGCGACGAACTGGGACTGCCGTAGCCGTCTCTGCCGAACCAGAAGAAGCAGCAGCATGCACGGGCGCCACCTGGCGCAAATCTGCCTCGGGAACCGCACCGGGCACACCCGATTGACCACCATCGACACAAGGCAGCGGCAAGGAGGCCACACGCACCGGAGCCACAGACCACGGCGCAGACTCACCACCGGAACACTAAACCTGCGAGGCAGAGTTAGAAGCAAAAGGGAACACGGATTCATCAAACCTCACGTGCCGGCAAACAAAAACCTTATTAGTGGCAAGGTTCATGCAACGATAACCACAAAAAGAATCAGGATAGCCTAGAAAAACACACGGAGCAGACCGATACTCAAGTTTATTCTTATTATATGGACGGAGCAACAGAAAACAGAGACACCCAAAGACCCGTAAAAAGGAGTAAGACGGTTGAGTACGGTACAACAAGGAATATGGACTGGAATTCCCCAGAACCGACGTGGGCAATCGGTTAATAAGATAGACTGCGACCTCAAAAGCATAGTCCCAAAAACGAACGGGTACAGACGCCTGAGCCATCAAAGCAAGGCCAGTTTCAACAACATGGCGATGCTTTCGTTCAACCCGGCCGTTTTGTTCATGCGTATAGGCACAGGATTGACGATGGACAATACCGAGATTAGAGAGAGTAGTATGCAATTTTTTATACTCTCCCCCTAAGTCCGACTGAAGACACTTAATTTTGCAGGAAAAAGACCTCTCAACCATAAGACGAAAACGAGCAAAAATATCATATAAATCTGTTTTTGCACGCATAGGAAACAACCGAGTGAAACGCGAATAATCGTCAACAAATAACATGAAATATCGATATCCATTAACAGAAGTAACAGGCGCTGGGCCCCATATATCGGTATAAACCAAATCTAGTACATGACTACTCGACGAACTAACACGGCGCAAGGGAAAACGAGAAGACTTGCCAAGTTGACAAGACGAACATAAAGACGAACTAACAGCTTTAATAGACGAACTAACAGGACAAGATTTCAGTACTTGACCCAAGACGCGATGATGAGGATGACTAAGATGCTTGTGCCAGACCAACGGAGAAGCCCAAGACGCAAAGAACGCAGCAGAGACAAATGGAGACATCGGCCACGTATAGAGCCCCCCAAAAGTACGCCCACTATACAGGACCGCTTTGGCTGTAGGATCCTTCACAAAGAAAACATCAGGATGAAACTCAAAAAATACATTATTATCAGTAGCAAATTTGCGAACAGACAATAATGACGCAGAAAGAGATGGAACATGCAATATATTAGATAAAGTAAACGAACGAGACCCTGTGGTTAACGAAGCATGACCAAGACCAGAAATAGGCAAACCTACGCCGTTTCCGACACGGAAAGAATCCGGACCATTGTACTCAGCCACAGAAGACATCACCGAGGCATCTGGAGTGGCATGATCCGTAGCACCGGTGTCGGGAAACCAATCATGAGGACCCGTCGAACCATCATCACCCTGTTGGTACGCCATATGAGCTTGAGGGGCCGGATCTTGTGCATACCTCTGAAAACACGTGTGGGCGGTGTGCCCCTGAGCATTACAAAGCTGACACCGGGGAACATAAGATCGGCCATTGCCACCTCCACGATTCGCACCACGACCGCGGCCGCGCTACCCACGGCCACGGCCACCATTCTGGCCGTTCCGACCACCATTGTGGCCACCACGGTGAACGGCCATTGCAGCTGGACCAGGAAGTCCGCCGGCAGCAGAAGCATCGGCATAAATGAACTCATGAGCGACCAAAAAATCCGCAATTTCGGTAAGAGAAACCGGGTCACCCGTCGCAAGGGTCGCCGCAAGAGGCCGATACTCCGGACGCAACCCTCGGAAAACATATAAATTCTGGTCGTCCAACGGAACGGAACGACCCGCCAAGGCCAAGTCCTCGACTATGACCTGCGCGCGGCCAAGGTAGTCCGCAATAGACTCGGAGCCCTGCCGAAGATTTTGTAACTACCCAAGCAACCGGAGAGTACGGGCACGAGTGGTGGATCCGAGAGCACGTTCAACGGCAAGCCAGACCTGACGAGAATTCGACCGACCAACTGCATGATGCATAACCTCTTCCGAGAGAGACGAGATTAGCATTGAAAGAACGGCTTGGTCTTGCTGCAGCCAGGCCGCACAAGCAAGAGACGGATCAGGCACAACGGAATCAACAACCGCGGCATCGGGAGAGGAGGCGACGGCAAGGACAGCCACGGGGCATGGATACGTGCCGTCTACAAAGCCAAGCAAGCCCTGACCACTCAAAAAGGACACCAACTGAGTTCTCAAGAACAAGTAGTTGCGGGAGGTGAGCTTTACCGAGACAAAATGATGTGCAGCGGAAAGCGAGAGAGTGGTCGTGGGAGGGGACACGCCAGGAACGGAGATCGTTCGCTCAGAGGAAGCGGCGGCATTGCTGGCTTGCTGATACCAGATGAATGTAGTTGTATTGAATGAATACCAAAACAGTTACACAAAGGATATATACATCAGATAAGTAACGGTAGAATCCTAGTGTATCATGTATAAGAGTAGAGTCCTAGTCTACCGTAACTACAAGTCCTAACAATATGTGGTCAAGACGACGGTATATGATTCCCAATTTTTTAGGGTTCATTTTTTTTTTTGAAAACTTTATATATATGTATGTATGTAATTCATTATTTTTACACTTGTTAATTTTGTTTTTAGAGTTCATGGATTGGTTTAAAATGCAATTGGAAATGAAACTTTTGAAGATATTGACTTTGAAATTTTGATGAATGATTTTGTATTTAATATATATGATGGATTTAATTGATTTGGGGTGATCTGAATTATTAAACTCGGATAAGAACGTAAATATAGAAAACAGGTAATAGACAAAACGTTGTCGTGAAGTCGCGGAGACCGTATATTATATTAAATGCCGTAAATAGGCTATTACAATGATCCGTTAGGACAATAGTAGTGAAAAAGTAGTAAACGTGTCTTAAAGGGACAAGGTAGGGGGTTTTTATACAAACCCCACCCCTAACCGCCACCCCCTAAACTGGGGGTGGTTGGATCTGCGTGTTGACCGCGCCCGGGGTGCGAGCCCCGGGTCTCTCGTTTGATCGGCTCCTAGGTCGGCCATATTTCTGGCCGACCCCTTTGGGGTCGGTTCTTATCCTGGCCAATGCCTGTTGGGCCGAGGTCGCATGGGCAGAGGCCTATTGGGCTGAGGCCTTGGGCCCGGCACGGGGCTCAACCCCAGGGGCCCTGAGTCTTGCTCCACTTCCCTGGGTCGGTTTGCTCCAATTGTAATATATCCATCAATATACATGAAAAATATCAATTTTTAACATGAATTTTGAATTATATTTTTTCTTTGTTGAATATTTTATGTATTATATATATATTTTGACAATTTTTTAATAAATATTAAATTTTTATTTTATATTTACACTTATACAATAGTAAAAAATTTTAAAAGGTCCAAACTCAACTATTACACAATGCTCATATTTTTTCATGATTGGCCCTTATCCTTAGACCTTAATTGTGTCCATTCACATCGAATACGAGAAAGCATACAGCTGTTACTTGAATGTGTGTTCTCGGCGATGCTCACCTTATGACCCTAGCTAGTTGACAAAGACCGCGCATAATTAGATAAACTAGCCTAGGTTTTCATAACTAACCGACTAAAACCGAGATACCAATTGACAAATACAACAAATACAAACTTAAAACATTATAGTTATCAAACTAGCTACATGACAAACTTGTTGGGATTGCCCTATTCACCTCTTTTCCATTTCTAGAAAACACATGACACAATTACTTGTGATTTTGAAGAAATTTTCTTAATTCATTTTTTTTTTTTTGAAAGCAAGTCAATTTATTTTATTATTGATTGCATATTTTTTAATGATTTATGAATAATTTTTAGGGTTTAATATATGTGAGTATGTGACCATTATCAATCTACTGAAGCACAAAGAGTTAACACTTTCACCCAAATTCGAATTTGTGACATTCCATTTGAGAGAACCACAGTTATGCCACTTGACTTCAATGTCTTTAATTTCCTACTTATTATTCAATAAATAACTCAATAACTATGTTTAATAAATTCAATGATATTTTGTAATTTGCCATGAAAGGTCTGGCCTAGTGGTTGGAACATTATATTCATACTAGAAGGTCATGAGTTTGATTCTTATCAATAGTCAACACTATCTTAGTAGTTAAGCTTATCATACAAAATCTTGCTAGTGTAGTATTGACGTATACATGTAACTAAGGGACTAATTTAGCCATCTACTTCGTATTTTTTTGACTAATAAAGTAAAATTGCCTACACGTACGTATTCTACCATAAACTCTTCAAATTATATTGGTTGGAGCTTTACATTGTACATGTACATCACTTCAAAAGCTACAGTAAATTTATCATGTAATAATTAGATACTGAGTATTATTTTTACTATTATATTGGTCATCAAATTGTTTAAAATTGTCAATTAAACACTTTCATAGACTAAATTGATGAAATTTTAAAAATGTAGAAATTACCATTTTGACTCAAAAAGGGTTTAATTGATGAAATTTTTAACAATTTAAGGATCAAATTTATTGAAATTGAAAACTAGAAATTACATTGACAGTTGGAAAACAATTTAGAGATCACACTGGTGATTAACTCTTTTTTTTTTTTTTTTTTTTGGTGATTAACTCTTAAATGAATGCATAACATAAAAAATTGACAAAAATTCCATTTATAAAAAAGTAAATATTAATAAAATTACAAAGTAATATTAAGAAAATTTCCAGGCACTATTTGGATAAGAGTCTAGTTCATATTTAAACCTATAAAAATTTTAAGGCAAAAACTTATGTGAGACTGTCTGACCGTGAGACGAGTCGAGTCGGGTCGGGCCAAGATGAAAATGTAATACTTATACACACACATGTTATACTTATATGCTCAAATGTAATACTAACTAGGAATAAAATTTTTGTTACTTATAAGGATAATGTAATACTTTTACATTTCGATTTAAATGTATTACATTTTTCATCAAAAATATTATATTTTTTCTTATAAATAAGGGTCACTTGCCAAGATTACTTATTATGAAAAATGTAATATTTTTGATGAAAAATATAATACTTTTACATCAAAATGAAAAAGTATTACATTTTTCCTCAAAAGTATTACATTTTTTCTTTTGAATAATAAAAATTTTATTCCTGATTAGTATTACATTTGAGCATATAAATATGACATTTGCATATTGATTCGACCCGACCCGATCCGTCTCAAGGATCCCCTCACAAGTGTGACCTAAATTTTAAAAGAATTATTAAAAGATAAACCAAAAATGAAATAAACAATAATTTAAAATCACTAATAATGGTTCCGAAAGCGACAAAATGCGAAGGCATATCAACTGATTACTCCTACCAAAAAAATATCAACTGATTACTATATCGCTTGTGACATATAGCTTATCACATGGAGAATAAAAACAAAACTGCTTGCAATTTTATCGGAAAAGTATTTTGGGTGTGTTTGGTTAAATGGGTATCAAATATTTAGTAATGTTATGGGTTTTAGTGAAAGTATTTTGCATGTTTGCTAGTAAGGTGGAACGAGAATGATTATTAATAATGTTGTTTTGTTATGTATGATCCTATAATGAGAATAAAAATTTTATAAAATACAAGAATACAAAATCAAAACAATTGATTCTAATATAAAAACATCCAAAACACTAATATGAACAAAAAAATAATAATAAAAAAAAATCTAAAAGCACTAATCAAAGAGAATGAAAATGAATAAGGAAATGAAGGGAGGTGATACCCTTATTTTATTTGAGTATGAATTTTTCAATTAAGGAATATTTAAAACTCATACTAGTGTTCTAAAAATCTATCAACTAAATAATATCAATCACTTTAATACTCATTCTTAGAGCTAAACTTGTCAACCAAACATACCCTTTATTCTTTTCCATTTTGCTGTAATTGTATAGAACTATACAAAGTTAATCCCCAACATTTTATTTTTTAATTTGACCACTTTACATTTTTAATTTCAATATTTTAAAAAAATTAATAATCAAAAAGTTACATAAAATGTGATAAAAGCATGATTCCAATAACGTCCGGCAACAAAAATTATGTAGGCTTGGTCTCTGTTCCGCTCCCAACACTGCTGAAAATTATCAATTTTCTGACCACTTTTCCGACCACCCACAAAAATGGTCGGAAAAATATAATTTTTCATTTTCTCCCATCGAGAGGTTGAGTAGACAAAAAATTGTCATCATTTTCGATCATCTCTTATTTGGTGGTAGGTACTTTCGATCAATTTTAATGAGTGGTCGGAATTATTAAAAGTGACCAATTTTTTTTTTTCATCTATTTAAAATTCTTCGTAGGTGCCCGTGCTTTTTTTTTTTTATATGCTTCCGACCACCATAAGTGGTCGGAATCATTTTATTATTATATATGTAAAAGATAAAAGATAAAAGATTTTATTATTGTATATATAAAAGATAAAAATAGGGATTTTGACTTCAGCCGTTCAACCCTCATTTGTTAATTGCGCCGCTTGCCTCCCGCTCCTCTGTGTCTCGACAACTCTCAACTATTCAGACTCCACCTAATACTCTCCGGAGACTACTGCCACAGGCGACAGCTACTCGGTCTTCTGCTCGATCTCCGCTATTAAATCTGTGTTTTCTTCGCGAAGGTATGAGTTCATTTTTTTGCATTTCTCATTGGTTTCCTTTTCAGCACGATTTGAATCAATATCCCAAAACGATTGATTTTTCTTATTGGAATTGATAATTATTTCCTGTACGACAAATCTTTATGTATATTTTGCTTAGTCTGAAGCAATGAATAATATTTCTGGTATTTTGTGTTTAAATGAAAGTAATGTCGTATTTTCAATAACGATTTTTCTGTTCGTAAATGTCTCATATGCATTATGCATTATGATTATGGATTGTGAATATGCGTAATCCACTTCAACTTACGGATTATTGGATTGAATAAAATTTAACAATAGATTAGTTGATCTATGGTCCCAGTAATCGGATTGCATCATCAGCTGTTATGGTTTTTGGCTGATGTGTCTAGGGTAGTGTATTGCATCCTCAGATGTTATGGTTTTCTGCTTGATATTCAGCATTTTTTTTTTAATCTCCCCAAGTGTTTTCATTATATTGTTGTGGTCTTTGTACTTAACTTTAACAATGTTTAATTTGATAATTGTAATTCTATTTCATTGTTCCAGGAAAGTAGACAAATTTGCAAATTCTCAAAAGGATTGGTGTTGGACTGTGAAAATGAAGTAATCCTTCTACCCTCCAATTGCAGTTTATTTGACTGGTTATTGTTACTTATTGTTTGGAAGTAGAAAGTAAGTGTTAACTGTGAAAATATAATTTTATTGTATATTTTTACTAGCCTACAAACCAGTACAACCTCAAGATTATAGTTAAAGATTGCTTGGCTACCATAAAAACATCTGACCATTACATGCTTAGCTTTCAGTATAGATGGATCCCTGTTGGTGTCTGGATTAGAGGATGGCATGATTCGGGTCTGGGATATACTAAAAACCACAACATCACTTGCATCTTTAGGCATGGAAAAGGTATATTTGATATTATAATATTATAATAGAAGTAAGACTTAGGGTTGTGGTTGTCATTGGCTTTCTAAATACTTGATCAAAGTTTTCTTGAAGTGTGAAATATATCAGCCTTGTGTCTCACTGCACTCCGGTATCAACTTATCATGCCAAATTTTTTAATTTTCTTTTTGTCTAAGCAGATTTTTATTGATGCAATAGAGCCGTTGCGGGTTTCCTATAAGAAGATGAATCCTTTCTGTGTACCTTTTGCGGCTACAAACATGGGCTCTGCCATTCTTTCCATGGATTTGGTAGCTAAACTACAACTTTTTTGAGTTATTATCTGATGTGCACTGTGAAACCATGTGCATTTTTAAAGTGTTTATAAATTTAACACTAGGGATGGATGGGTCCAAATTATTCAATTTCTACCGCATGTGCTACAAGTAACTTCTGCATTCTGAATGCTGCTAACCACATCATAAGAGGTGAAGCTGTAAGTGGATTTGCCTACTTCCTACAACATGAACTTTATTGATAATTTTAATGTGGTTAAAACGATGAATATATCTTGATGAATTGAACTTTATATTGTTTAAAATGCTTTAAGAGTTTCAGGATATGATGCTTTCTGGGGGATCTGATTCAGCAATTATACCAACTAGTATTATATCTTCTTTTGTAATTATACATTGATTTAGCTAGCTATTTGTGGTTGTCACATATCGAACGTCTTTGTTGCAGGAGTGGGTGGATTTATTGCTTGCAGGCCACTTTCTCAGAGAAACAATGATCCTACTAGAGCTTCACGGCCCTGGGATAGTGTAATCCCATTTCTTTCATTTGCATCTTCACTGTTTGATTAGAATTACTTGCATATGCTGATATTGCTATTGACAGGACTGCGATGGGTTTGTCATGGGTGAAGGAGCTGGAGTTCTGCTTCTGGAAGAACTTGAGCACGCAAAGGTAAACTCTCGCATGTACTTCCCAAGTCTAGTAGTTTCATTCCATTCCTTATCATCCCATGCAACCCGAATTTTCCTTGTTTGAGTGAGCAGAAAAGGGGTGCAACAATCTATGCTGAATTTCTCGGTGGAAGTTTCACTTCTAATGCTCATCACATGACAGAACCTCATCCTGAAGGTTATTCTTTTTTCACACTCCATCTTCGCTATTATTGAAAATGATTTTAAAAATCACTGATTCTTATTATCTCCTCAAGACCTACCTACCCTAACTTCAATTGGTTGTCAATTGCCATTGTCCTATTAGTTAAGCTGTTTTACTACTGCCTGTATCTTTCTTGGAACTGAGGTCACCCAATCAGAAAAATCAGTTTTCTTTTGTTTATTGTTTGTAGTTGAACACGCCTTTATAAAAAAGTGCAGGTACTGGTGTTGTCCTATGCATAGAGAAGGCCATAGCTAATTCTGGGATATGCAGGGATGATGTTAACTATATAAACGCGCATGCCACCTCCACTTAGGCTGGCGATCTCACAAAATTCCAAGCTCTCCCACGTTGTTTTGGCCAGAACCCAGAGGTGACTAAACGGATTTTAGTTCTTCAGTCTATCGGAACTCTTTTTATATTTTCTTCTTTGCAAAGACAAGCTAGCAAGTACAATTTCAGCTCCCTTAACTAAACATGATTAATGGTCTCAGAATGGATCTTTTTCATGTTATTGTCACTAGGGTCATGGTTACCATGTTTTTATTGATGGAGTGCAAATACTAGATGTTCCTTGGAACAACATTTCTTTACAAAGTTTCCAGGTATGCTCCTAATATCGATAGTTCCATCCATACCAATTTCACTCTCGTTTAAGATGTGAAGCTATTTACCAAATGCTAATGTGGGAATTTGTGGCTCTGTTACATGGTTCATTCTGGATATCTTCGAACAATTTCTCCAGTTGCACCAGATGGTAATTTTCCTATTATACTTGTTAATCTACATCTCATCAGTTACCTTTATATTGGTTCAGCTTTAGTGCATAAGTTTTCAGGTTTAACTCGAGCATTTCCCTTCATTGTTATTTATTTACCTATCTTTAAATGGAAGACAAAAATAAATATTACTCTTTAACATAAAACAAGGTAAGGTGTTCTGTCCCCCTCCTCCCATGTACTTTCCTTTTGGACATAAATAAAATGCCAACATGACTACCATTCAGAGTATGGGTGTTTCTATGCTTTTTTAAAGAAAAAATAAAAGAATAATTTATTTTTTCCTTTCTTTTCAGTTTACTAATATAATTATTTGAAGGGAATTTCTGCTTTTGGTAATTAAATCCTATCATTATTTTCTTCAACTTGCAGAGATAGAGCTTGTGGATACACTAGATTGTTAAGAACAAGAATACGTGTTGGTGATGCTGCACGGCCTGCACCTATGGTTCCTATATTGAGTGCGATATTTACCTTATTTGCATTTAGCTCAAGAACCAATTAGCTTTTGTTTATTTTGAATATAAACTGTAAAGAAAATATATAGCAAAAAGTTATATTGAAAAAGACTATCATCTAAAATATTCATGAAAGAATTGTGTCCAAGCGTATGAAATTTGTATATGTTTTTCAGCAAATATATATATATATATATATATATATATATATATATATATATATTCATTTCATTACAGAGGATTCCTCTGTAGTGAAATGAATTATTTTTATTGTTTGCGTCTAGTTTTCCGACCACTAAAGTGGTCGAAAGTTTCGACCACTAAAGTGGTCGAAAGTTTCGACCACAGGTGGTCGGAAAATCTGGATCCACCTAACTATTCTCTTGGCCATTTTTTCCGACGGCCTTAGAAAAGTGGTTACTCTTTCCGACCACTCTCTCTGGTGGTTGGAAATAGCTAGGGGGATTTTTTCGGATACCCAAATTGGTCGGAAAAGTGGTCGGAACAGGCGTTTCTGACCTAATTAAGGCCTTTTCCGACCACTTTTCGGTGGTCGGAAAATGGCAAATTTCCAGCAGTGCAATGAGAATAATTTATTGACATTTTTTGTTTGAGTGAGCAACTTAAATTGATTTATCTCATTGTATGTGATTCTTTAACGGCTAGAACCTTAAGATGGAGTTTACCTAGTACACATCATCAGGTAATAATTACAAATTTTCCTTGTCATCCAAAACTTACATATGGCATTTGTTGTATCATCAAGGATTTTAAAATTGAATTGCGAGAGGTCGACATTGTTAGAAAATTAGCATGTGCAGTGAGTATTCATTTCCATACACTATTTGAGTAGGGTACATTATCAATTTGGTCCGATCAAAGCTATTTCAGATTTTTCTATGTGAGAAGATGAATTTATTGTAAATTCACACACTCAAAATAAATAATTAGTAAATAAAAAATTAATTTCAAAGTGTACCCATTAAAATTTAAAAAAAGAATTTGAAAAAAGTTTTGAAGATACCTTTGTCTCATACTGAAAATGAAGAAAGTATCTGTCATTGAACTAGTATAAATATATTCACTTTTTGAAATTTGTGAAATATGTCGTGAATTGCTAGATAATTCTCTCTTAGGTGCTTCAACAATTGTTTGGTTTACATGAAAATATTTTTTAAGAGAAGTTTTTACTCAAGTTTGAGGAAAAGCAGATTTTACATTGTTTGGTTAACAAATACTCCATAATTTATTCTAATATAAAAGAGTAAATGCCCAAAATGGTCCCTCGACTATAGCTAAATTCACAAATTGGTCCTTGACTTTCAATTTCAACCAATTAAGTCCTTGACTTTGCAATTTTGACACGATTTGGTCCTCCATCAATTTGACCGTTTGTTGATCGTGATTCTCGTGTCCAACAAGCACTGGTACAAAAAAGAGCAAAGAATTTAACTTTAAGCTACCTTTCTTCAAACAAGGGTAGTGTATTGTTAAAAAATAAAAGGACGGTGGCATAATTGTAAATAAGTGCACAAGAAACCGCTACCCTTTTAAACAAAAAGGCAGCGTGTTGTAAAAATGGAAAATTTTCCACTACCCTTTCTCGTAGAAAGGGTAGCGGATATTTATATTAATTTTAAATAATATAATTGTTCGCTTCCCTTTCTACGAGAAATGGGAGCGAAAAATAAAAATATATAAGCTTTATTTACGCCTTCAGTGTTCAGATCTACAAATTAAGGCATCCAAATCCCAATCCCTTCAAATCTATGAGGTCTCATCTTCTCATCTCAACCAAATACACCAAACATACATATCTTCTCTTCTCTTCTCTTCAGATCTATCATATCAACCGGCAGGTAGTGCTTTGACGGCGGCCTCACGACGACGCTTGTTGGTGGCGGTAGTGCTTCGACGGCGGCGACTTGTTGGCGACGGACGACGACAACGATTTATCAGCTTGGTCTCACCGGCACCACCACCAACATCCGGAACCGCCACCATCACCTCTTTTTTCTTCAGATCTGGAGATCCGGGAGGCCACCGCTGCTTGGTAGTCGAAGAGCCAAAGCCCTCTGCGCAAGCAAGCAATAGACACAAACAGAAGAAGAAGAAGACTGTTCACAGTGCAAGAAGACTGTTCACAAGGACGCTGGGCGACGGCAAGAAACGAAGCAAAAGAAGAAGACGGTTCACAGTGCAATTTTTTAAAAAATATTTTTTTTTTGCATTTCTTTAATTTTCCTGTACGTGTTCTTATCTTTCTTTTTTTTTTTTAAACCTTATCTTCTTTCATTGTTTTGACTTTATTTTGGAATTGCAATTGTTCAAAGTGCAATTCCATATTTGGATAGGTTTTGTTTTTTTGTTTTTTTTTTTTAATTTTAATTTTATTTAGTGTGTACTATTATTGTCATTTAATTAATGTAGTTTGTTGATAATATTGTGTTGATTTGTAGTGTATGACATTTATATATGAATAAAATTAAAATAATTGGAGATTTAAAAGTAATAAATGATTATTTAAAAAAAAAAAACAATCCACATTAAAAATAATAATAAATTATGATATCCGCTACCCTTCTGTTATAGGGTAGTGGAATGCTCAGGGCTTTCAGAGACCCTAAAATCTGCTACCCTGGTACAAGGGTAGCGGATATGCAAATCTGTACTAGTGAAGAAGCACGATTCGGGTCGGGACCATTACCGGCTCATGCACGTGGTCCCCATGCACAAGGGCACCGACGACAAAGCCTACCGCTACGTTTACGAGCAGGAAGATCCGCAAGGGAAAGTCGGAATCAACCTCTCAAAAGACCGCCGGCGAAGCCCTCAAATCCAACATAACCACAATCGGCTCGCTCGTTCTCCCGGTGTTGGAGCAACTCTTCTTCCTCTTCACCCTAATCGGCCGGAAAATCTTCAATCCCGTATGGAAACACTACATTCCCAACTTCAAATAGGCCTTCGAACACTTCTACATCAACACCGGCGGCCGCGCCGTCATCGACGATCTCTAGAAGAACCTGCAGCTCTCGTCGGAGCATGTGAAGGCCTCCAGGATGATGTTGCACTGATTCGGAAACACGTTGTCTTTTTCGCTCTGGTACGAACTCAACTACATTGAATCCAATGGGAGGATGAAGAAAGGCGACCGAATTTGGTAGATTGCTTTCGGCAGTGGATTCAAATTAACAGTGCGGTCTGGAAATGCAACCGGAACCTTAAAAAACCGACGATGGACCATGAAATTACAAATATATTCTCAAAAATCACAGTCAACAAACAGTCAAATAGATAGAGGACTAAATTGTGTTAAAATTGCAAAGTTAAGGACTTAATTGGTTGAAATTGAAAGTTGAGAACCAATTTGTGAATTTAGCTATAATCGAAGGACCATTTTAGGTATTTACTCAATATAAAATAAAGTCCTTGTTCTCCTTTGACATTTTATTTTTCACACCTTTTGTGAAATAAGTAATAAGTTATAACATAAGTCTTTATGTTAATTATTCCTAACAACTGTTTTCCAACCAAAGTACTCCATAATCTTTTTCTATTGAATTTAAATTCAATTCTTTCTCAATTATTTCCCACAAAATAAATTGGCCGTAAGTGAACTTGTTAGTTGTTATCAAGCCATCATTATACCTATTTTTATAATAAAAAATACTTTTACACCTCATAATATTTTCCCTTTTAAAGTCGATCTCTCCTCACTTGACTTGTAATTATTAGATGTTTATGAATTAACTGACCCTACCAACTTTTTAAGTCAATAAAAAGAATAGGAGAAAAATGTTTTTAAAGGAAAAATAAAATTACTTTTTATAAAATTGCATGCTATACTTCACTAAAAAAATTTATTATAAAATATTATGTGTCATTATTTTATTAAATACTTTTTTTTAATATTTGATGATTACAAACACTTTACATTCTTTTTATTATACTCTCCCTAATACAAATATATATATATATATATATATATATATATATATATACACACACACACACATACACATAGGGAGTTGATGTGAGCTCGACGAGTCTAAAAATTACAGTAGCATTCGTGTTCGAGTCCAGAGAACTCGACGCATCGAGAAGTGTTAGCCGAGAGGGTTGAAAATCGACGTTCGTTTCGACGCGTCAAATATTTGCAGTATGTTCCGGAAGGTTGGGCGCTGAAGCTCGACGCGTCGAGTCGGCGAGAAGTGGGTTTCGGTAGCTTCCAAATTTCGCGCTGAAATTTCTTATTTTGTCCCCAGCTTGGTTCCAGCTATAAAATCCCCACTTCCTCAACTCTAGAAGATCTCATTCAGATTTTTGGAGACAAGAAAGAAGAGAATTGAGAGCTACAAGTTGTCTTGGAAAGCAAGAAGAAAAGCTAGGGAGATTGGGAAGAATCACTTGGTTTATTCTTCTACTTACTTTGATTATTTGTAAACTCTTTATTATTGCTATGTATTGCATATTAGCCAAGTGTGGCTAATTTACTTAGAGATTTTTGGGTAAAGTATTTATGAACCTTTGTCCTAGTTCTCTTTATATTGGCTGGATTTGAGTAAATTGAAGGGAATCCTGTGTCGTGTGAGTACACTACCTTAAAAGCAAATTTCCGGTGTAACCGGAGTGCTTTCGACTGGTTGCACACAAACTTTCTACGAGATACCGGCAGAGGTATTCGCAGTCACAATAGAACCCGACTTACAGCTCAGACAGAAGGCTCAGAGAAATTAAAGCAGAAGAGGAGAACGAATTAATTGTGGTGTGTTTTAGATGTGAGGAGGAGCATGGTATTTATAGTTGAGGAAATACCCGCCCCTCCTCTCTCAGCCATTCGTTCAACGCAAAGATAGTGCAAGGAGTGGAGAAGAGAGCCGCGAATTTATGCCACTCATATTTATTGTAGATGGTTAAAAACTAACTCTGAATGGGCGAAAAACTCAGAATTAAAATAGGAACTGAGTCACCGTGATGCGCGTGCAAACCGAGCCGGACGGGCGGGTGGCGGCGGCGCACGCGTGTGGGGTTCCCCTTTCCTTTTCCCTCCACAATATTTCAAGAGCTCCAAATGGGTTATCTAATAAAAGGGGGGAAAAGCTCTCCTATGAAACCACTGTG